ACCAACAACAGTCTTTCTCAAGACTACACTCACCTGGAACATTACACTTCATAACAAACTGTCAGTCACCACCAACAACAGTCTTTCTCAAGACTACACTCACCCGGACAAAAACACTTCAAAACAAACTTCAACACCTGGGTTCAAACCATCAATTCTAAATTACAATGAAAAGTAACACAAAAATATTACCATGAAGAAGTTATACATGGTTGTCCTGTTTTATTGTAGGCTTTTAATGATGGAAGAGCGAGCAACAACAGCAGAAGCAGATCTTGCTAAAGCAAGAGATGACATACAGCAGTTGAGGTAGGCAAAATAGTAGAAGCTATTAACAGTACTTTAAGGAAATAGTTTGAAATTCTCCAAGATTATAAACAATAACTTTTTTGTTCTTCCTTCAGAATGGTAGCCAAATCATTCCTTGAAGAAGACATATCTAAAACCAACAGGTATATCATTAACAAAAATTACATTTTTTTCTCTACATTTATGGACTTTTCATTAGCCAGTCCAAGGTTGAGGAAAAGACTGGGCTGAGTTGACATAGCACTGCATTGTGGGACTGTTTTAGGAAATGAAGTAGATGTTGTATTGTTAATGATTTTATGTCCCCTCAAACCATCCCATAATGCACTGCAATGCCAACTCAGCTCATTTTTTGCTCAATCTCAAAATGACTAATTTTACTAGAATCTCAGGGTTGAAAATATGATGCGCCCTTCTTAAAGTTGCCTTGAATTTGAGGCTAACATGGAAATATAAAAGAAATGGCACAAATTCCATCAAGAAAATGCATGGTATCTTTGTAGTTTCCATGTTAGCCTTGCATCCACTACACTTTTAAGAAGGGCCGTCCATTGCCTGGCCAGTCACAGATCTTGCAGCCTTCTATAACCTTGAGCTACATGGCTTTTTATGTCCACTATGTATGTTGCTATACCAGTAATTGTGTTTTACAGAACGCACAAGAATTGTCAATCCGTCAATCGAGGTGGTAATGATGGCCATGATGATGATGAGGATAGTGCATACTTTAGTTCGTACGCTCATTTTGGGATCCACGAAGAAATGCTCAAGGTAAAAAAAAGCTAAACAAACAGTAAGAAGGGTGGATGCAGGAATTTTTTAAAGGGGGTACAGCATATATATTTAGAATGTTACAGTCAGAATGGCTCAACACTACCCCCCCCCCCTCCCAGTTCCGTGCCCCCAAGTCCTCCCCCTCTCTCCCAGGTGTTAATATTATTCACTAAATAAATTAAAAGACTTCAAACTTTAAATTCAATTCACAGCTAAAATTCTAAGTGGTCAACTTTATAGTGACCTTTCTGGGCCCGGGTTTTCTACCTCGGCATGGCAATCATTACAGAATCCAATCAAACAAAAAAGATGATTTTCAATTTTTGAGTCCTCCCAATCATGGTTCATAAGCCTTCTTTTTACTGGTTGCTCATGTTTAGTGTTTAGTGCATATCCTGGCAGTAATTTCAGGGCTCGAAATCATAGCGCGCCAAATTTCAGGTTTGGCAGCGAAAATAATGATGCACTGCCAAATGAATAATAAAATGGCATGCAAAATTTACTGCAGAATGACCTCCTTTACCATGCTCCTTTACTATTGCAGGCTAAAAAAATGTTCTATTTTGAGCCCTGAATTTTAACATAGTTTTTTGCAACGTTTTGGTGACTTTCAGTCGTTTTCTTCAGGTTTTTCTTCAGTTAATATTTTTGTGAGTAGTACTTTCCAAACTCTTAAGTCCTCTGTTTTAATTAATTGGAGTGTATGATAAACTCTACAGTGTATATCTGACTAATAAAATAATTATGGATTTTTGGCTCATTTGGGGGGTGGGGGTGGGGGTTGAGCACACCCTGCACCCCTGCCCTACATCTGCCCCTGAGTAGTTTAGGATTTTTTTCTTTAATGTAAAAAGTTAATTGATATAATAAATAATATTACGTAACTTCTTTTAAGAATATATTAAAGTATATGCTTTCATAATATATTTCACACCAGGATAAAGTAAGAACAGAAAGCTACAGAGATTTTATATTGGGAAATCCTAACATATTTAAAGATAAGGTAATGACTATTTTTGTTATAAATTGTTTATAGTACTTTATTTTTCCTTCCCCTCCTGCCTTACGTGTATATGAAACGGCTCTCTGGTGTGGAGACTACTCTAGCTTTGTTTTTACCACTCCACATTTCAGCATTTCCATCCACATCTGCTAGTAGTTACGGCCATTAATACTTAAAGTAATTAATATTATCATTTAGGTAGTGTTGGATGTTGGATGTGGCACAGGAATACTGTCCATGTTTGCAGCCAAGGCAGGTGCACGTCATGTGATAGCAATTGACCAATCAGAAATCATCTATCAAGCAATGGATATTGTGCGGTAAGTGTAGATTTTGATAAATACATGTACAGGTATCTGCCATTAAATAGCAGTTATAGTCGTGCTAGGAATACTAACTCAGCAGGGCCGTAACCAGGGTGAAGCACAGTGTGTACGTGCACCCCCCCCCCCCCATAAAAGCTTAAGGTCCGCTAATCTATTTCCTTTTGCTTTAAAATTGCATGTAAATGTTTTTTGATTAAATGAAGACCACTTTCCAGCTGCATATTGTAGCATTTTTAAGAATCATTCACCCATTATTCCCTTTTTTTTCGGTTCTGCAAATCATTGCCTATGCAACTCCCCTGCAATATCCCTGGTTAAGCCACTGCTCAGCACTCATCTCTGGGGTCACGGATTTGATTTCTGGACATCACATAAGAGTAGAGTTTATAAGTTGCTATCATTAAACATCACTTCCGGATAATAGCTACGTTTTTAATGGCTTGTAGAATCCATGTTGCTTTGATTTCTTATTTTCTGGTTTCATGTCGTAGAAATAGTCAAATACAATAGTTTGAGGACTTATTTTGACATGTTTTGACTTAACATACGCTAGTTGCCCCTCCGTCAACAGCTTGTTTGCCCCCTAGTCAACTCCAAAAAGTTACGTGATTGATAGTAAGCAATTGAATGTACTGTACTCTCTCCATTGATTTAAGGTTATTTCTGTAGGTTCTGCAAAACCCAACAGGCTAAATTTAATTTTGATCTGTTATAGCCATGCCCTGACATTTATCACCCAAGAGGTTGTTTCAAATTTGATAAAAATTTTACAAAATGTAAAAGGGTTTTAGAAAGCATGAATATAAATAAAAAATACCAAAAAACAAAATTCAAGAAAAACAAAAAAACAAAACAAAAACTACAACATAAAAAAAAGCTATTTCAAGAAAGAATGAATTCCAATAAATTGCAATAGGACGTTTGCACGATGGCGTCACTGACCTCCTACCAGACTCCCTTGCACGCTTTCTTTTATTCAGTTAATTAGCACCAATTGTCTTACTATTCTCATGAGGAAATACAAATTTGAATAAGAAAGAAAATTCCCAAGGCATCTTGGTAGTGGGAGTCAAATGACGCCATCATGCAAACGTCCTATTGTGTTGAATAACTGAGTGCATTTCTCTGCTTTTTTTTATAGTGAAAATGGTCTTGATAAGACAATTACTCTGTTAAATGGAAAAGTAGAAGAAGTGACTCTACCTGTTGACAAGGTAAGTAGATTAAAGCCTGATTCACACAGGCAATGCAAACACAAGGGATGCAAACTTTTCCATTTTCTTATGTTCTCTTATGGTTGGGGAGTCAGGATGGTAAAATGCTTCTCCTCAAATCTGAGGTACAGGTTTCAATTCCCAGTCACCTAATACGTGATGAGCTGAATTGGTTGGTTCTCTTTCTGACTCTGAGGGTTTCTCCCTTCCTCCGGTTTTTCCTCCCTCCTCTCAAATTAACCCTTACTAATTCAAACTGGTTAGAGCCATGTTCCAGGGACTTACTTGGCTGTATAGCGGCTGCCAGAGGTGCCTTCACATGCTTTCAGTTCGACCCCATTGAGCTATGCCACTGCTATACTGAAGAAATAGAAAAGGCGCGCGCGTGCTGTGTGCAGTTGTAAAGTACGCTGGAATAGGTTGAACATGAGAGAACTGTTAGGAGAAGCACGACGCGTAGCGGAGTGCTTCTCGACTTTTCTCGAGTGTTCTGCCAATCCCCAAGTGCTTTATAACTCCACACAGCACAGCAAGCAAGTTTTTTATTTCTTTTATAAAATACAAAGGGCGCGTGTGTGGTGCGTGCTACCATAAAGCATGTGCTCCCAATCAATCAGCCAATGTGCAAACTGCATTAACGGAATCACAAAATCGTTTTTTTTTTATGTGAACAAGTACCAAATGTGCATTATTTTTTATAGTGACTCGTTTTGGAAATGAGTGAAAATAACTGGTTCATGTGAGCAACACAAACATGCAAACCCATGGCACAAGCAATGTTCACACATGAAACTCAAATTTTTGATGCGATATATTATTATTTATTTTATTTATTTATATTTTTTTATTTTTTTATTTTTTTAAGTTAATGAATATGCTTGATATTTTTTATATTTAATTTTGATGAACTTTAGGAATAAACATAGCATTTTTTATTGACTAGTACTATTTTTTCTATCGTTTAGGTAGATATTATAATATCAGAATGGATGGGATATTTTCTATTATTCGAGTCTATGTTGGATACCGTCCTCTTTGCAAGAGACAAATGGTTATCCCCAGGGGGGATAGGTAGGTACATGCTTTGTACCCACTATCACCTTGGTCTCCTTTGCAGCCCTTCTTAGTGTTGGCCCTAAACTCCCAACCCTAGCAGAGGGAGTTTAGGACCGACACTGAGAACGGCTGCAAAAAAGACTTCTGCCACATATCCTCGTCTTTGTTTTTTAAGAAAAATCAAATAATGTTTTTAGTAATACATACAATATGAGTGGCCGTGTTGTATCAGATATACAACCACGAGGCGTAGCCGAGAGTTTGTATATCGGATACAACAGGGACACGAATACTGTAGATCACTTATCAAACGTCTAGGTTAGTCCCTTTGTGTTTCGCTAAGATTTTCAAGTTTCAACTTTGCAAAATGATTGCAAATCGGTCATGAAAGGAGAGCCTCACCTTTCTAAGTATGGAAGAATTCGAATTGTTTTCCAACCTGTGATACCTCTGCGAGGCAGACCCACGAGTTAGCATCGTCAGCCGTATCCTTCCTCGATTTTCCAATGTTTTTATTTTTTTACTTGTCTTTTTTCTCTCTCTCTCTTTTCTTTTCTTCAAAAATGTTCATGTCGAATTCGTTATAAAACGACGGCCTTTTTGTTTGCCGCTTTTCCGCACAATCCAAATATGGAATTGATCATACCATATATGGAGTGAGCTTTCTCTACTCCAACTTCGACACTAACATATAGAGTAAAGCTTGATATGTAGAATTGTATTTATTTTTCAGTATTTCCTGATAAATGTTCTATTCACCTTGTTGCCATGGGAACTCTTGAAGATCAAACGCCAAAAATCAACTTCTGGGATGACGTGTATGGTATGTTGTCCTTAAAGGTCTTGGGTTACCTGTGCCAAGACTCTGGTAGCGTGTATATTTTTTTATCGGCCAAACAACACAGGAATCCAATTCAACAAACGTTCAAAGAACAGAGTTTTATTTGTAGTGTTTTGGGGTYCCTGTGTAAAGATACAAGAATTTTGCTCCACCAACTTCAGTGTTGTAATTTATTTTAGATTTTTTTTTTAGTTTTGGATTCTCTGTTGCTCAAGGCTGGTTTTGATTTGTGTCGTGACACAGGAATCCCATGTGATTAATTATCCAGTTTCAAAATTCTCCTTCGTACGGGTTAGCCTCGATTTTGTTTAACATTACTTTGAATATTCATGTGTTCCAGTCCAGGTCTTTGGATTTCAAAGTGTTTGTATCGTTGAAACTATGCATTTTTTAGCTAAACGTTGGTATTTGTGAATATTTAGACACTGATACGAGGCTAACCCGAAGTAAATGAGTCTGCAATCAAGGAACACAGCGGTAAAGTTTGACTTTCAAAAATGGTCTGTTCTTCATTGTAGGATTTAAAATGTCTTGTATGAAGACGTCTGTTATCAAGGAACCATCGGTGTCTGTGGTGAACCCAAACGCTGTCATATCCACAGTCTCGTGTATTAAGGTATTTTGCCTTGTTAAACGTCATTCTTGATTAAAATATGAATAATTAACATTGATCGTAACGCTTCTGAGAAAAATGCTTAGAAACAGGAAGAATGGATGGAGGGAGGGATGCATGGATGAATGCATACATGAATGGATGGGTGTGTGTGTGGGTTGGGGGTGGGTGGATGAATGAATGAATTAATTAATTAATTAATTAATTAATTAGAGAATAAAAAAATGAATGGAAAAATGAATTTATGGGATTGTAGGTGGGTGGTTAGGTTAGGGGTTGAGTTGATGGATGGATGGATGGCCGAGGACGTAGCTAAACGGAGGCGGGATAAAGGAAAAGTTAATTTTGGTTTAAGTGTCCGTGTTGAAATTGCTTCTTTCTTCTTTCGGTTTAAGAGTTTAGACATAAATAAGTGCAAATCAGAAGACTTGAACTTTATTTCGTCGTTTAAGCTGAAAATCCTTAAGGACGACCAACTAACGGTAAGCAAAGTGAACTGTTGTACAAGAATTAATCCACAGTTTTCATAGTTCATAGAATTTTTGAGGACTTACCGCACGGAGTCCGGGAAAAAATAACACGCAAAGGTTTTATTTATCCAACACAGTATTCCCTGTAAATAATAAGTGGTCTCTTATATGTCTTTTCATTCTCTTGAACATAAGTTTTATTTGGTTTAGTTTGTATCCATATTCATTTGTCTCTCATGCGCAAATGCTAATAATACTCGAGGGAATAACACTTGGTCTGAAATGGAAAAACATCAGACGTAAATGAATAATGTCTATTTGTTGTCCAGTAGTGCAAGAGGAGGCCTTATGTTGTAAAGGATTCTGATATCACGTATTTAAATTACCGAACGTTTATTTAAATTATGATTTAATCCTTTGTATATCACCGTGGCGTAGGATTACTGGCGTTTTTCTCTCTTTCTCGCAAACCAAAATTGCAATAAAACGCTCGAATCAAAAGATTGCGTAGCTGCATTTAAATACTATTCCTTTTCAATCGTAGGCAATTGTAGCATATTTTGATATAGTCTTCGAGCAAGATGCAGTCAAAAAGGTAAAATTATCTAAGCCCTCATTTTGCTTTGATGTCGCAATTGACCATTTCTCCTGTTTGACCGTCCATTTTCAATTCACTCCGTCTGAGAAAGGAATGATAATAATAATAAATAATATTTCTGAACGATGTGTGAATTAGCCATCCCTGACTTTGATCAGCCTAGAGGTTGTTTCAGGGTTTGATCTGTCAGTTAGCCATGCCCTGACTTAGATCAGCGCAGAGGTTGTTTCAGGGTTCAATCTGTGAGTTAGCCATGCCCTGACTTAGATCAGCCCAGAGGTTGTTCCAGGGTTCAATCTGTAAGGTTTTCTTTTCTTTTCTTTTAGGTGGAGTTTAGCACCAGTCCTGGCCAACAACCAACCCACTGGAAACAGACTGTCTTTTATTTGAAAGACACTATACCTGTTATCAAAGGTAAGAATCTTTTTTTAAGCATTCCATATGTTTTGTCGTTTGCTCTCTCTAGAATGTTTTTCTAAGGAAGCGTGCGTAGAGTAGGCACAGCTAAGGTGAGCCATAGCTGTGAACTTTCTAGTAAAGCACAAAAAGATCATGACAAAACGTTGTGACAAGAGATTTTGTTTAAACTAAAGTTTATCTGCTGCTGCTGTTGTTGTAGCTGCTGCTGTTGTTGTTGTTGTTGTAGCTGCTGTTGTTGTTGCTGCTGCTGTTGTTGCTGTT